TTAGTCAAAAATGGCATAAAACTGGTAAGAAATTGGCAAAAATAAGAATGACCAGCAATTGTTTAGAAATAGCAAAAAAAAAAAAGATTTAAAGTGGGTTAGAAAAAGCCAAAAATGGTTTAAACCAAGTGAGGAAAGGGCAAAAACAGGTTAGAAATGACAGGAAATTAGTAAGAAATGGACAGAAATGGTTTGGAAATGGCCAAAACCACTTAAAAAGAGATAGAAGTGGGCAAAAAAGGGTTAGAAATAGTCTAAACCAGTTTAGAAATAGCTACGAAAAGCTTAAACCAAACTAGAAATGGCAAGAAACTGTTCAGACTTAGTCAAAAATGGCATAAAACTGGTAAGATATTGGCAAAAATAAGAATGACCAGCAATTGTTTAGAAATAGCCAAAACAGACTTAAAATGGGTTAGAAAGGGCCAGAAATGGTTTAAACCAAGTCAGGAAAGGGCAGAAACTGAGTTAGGAACAGAAAAAAATTGGTAAGAACTGGACAGAAATGGATTGGGAATGGCCAAAATGACTTAAAAAGAGTTAGAATTGGCCAAAAAGGGTTAGAAATAGCTCAAGCCAGTTTAGATAGAGCTAAGAAAAGCTTAAACCAGGCTAGAAATGCCCATAAAAAAAGTGAAGCATTAGCCAAAAATGGCATAAACCAGGTAAGAAATGGGCAAAAAAAAGGTGAGAATGACCAGCCATTGTTTAGAAATAGCCAAAAAAAACTTAAAGTGGGTCAGAAAGGGCCAAAAATGGGTTAAACCAAGTTAGGGAAGGCCAAAAAAAGGGTTAGAAAGAAATTGGTAAGTACAGGACAAGAACAGTTTGGAAATGGGCATAATGGCTTAAAAAGAGTTAGAACTGGGCAAAAAAAAAGGTTAGAAATAGCTCAAGCCAGTTAAGAAATAGCTAAGAAAAGCTGAAACCAGGCTAGAAATGGCCATGAATTCTTTAGGAATTGCCCAAAATGGCTTAAAACTGGTAAGACATGTGCAAAAATAAGATAGAAACGGTCATCAATTGTTTAGAAGAGGTAAAAAATGCTTCAAACAGGGGACAAGCAGGCAAGAATGGACAAGAAATAGCCAAAAAAAAAGCTTAAAACTGGTAAGAAATGACCAAAATTAGGACAGAAATGGCCATATTTGTTTTAGAAATAGCCAGACTTAAAATGGGTTAGAAATTGGCAACACTGGATTAGGAATGGCCAAAAATGGCTCAAACTGAGTCAGGAAAGAGCAAAAATTGGTTAGAAATGGCAAGAAATTAGTAAGAAATGGACAAAAATTTTGGAAAAGGTCAAAATGGTTCAAAAAGTTTTAGAATTGGGGAAAAAAGGGTTCGAAACAGCCTAAACCAGTTAAGAAATAGCTAGGAAAAGCTTAAATAGGCTAGAAACTTCCATAAATAGTTCAGATTTAGCCAAAAATGGAATAAAACCTGCAACTCAATCATGTACCAAGGAAAGAGTCAGGGTATTTTCAGCTCTGTCTTGAACACTCCCAGCCATGGGGCAGCCACAGCGTCTCTGGGCACCCTGTGCCACTGCCCCACCACCCTCACAGGGAACAACTTCTAAGATCTCATCTCAATCTCCCCTCTCTGTCACGTTAAAATCGTTCCCCCTTGGCCCATCCCCACAGGCCCTTGCTCTCCCCACAAGAAATGAGGGCAGATCCCAGGATCATCCCTCGGCAGCCGCAGCGCTCCGCTGCCGGCTCAGCCAGCCCAACTCACACACCGAGTCCAAAGCAGCCACTCTGGGGAAGTCTCTTGAGGTGTTCTGGCAACTCCTACAGCACCCCAAGATCGCCATCGCCACCCACCTCCTTCCACGCTCCTGTGTCCACAGGCGGCACCGGCTCCGAGACACCAAGACGGGAACCACCAGAGGAGCTGCTCTTGCCTCCTCCACCGGTAGCTTGTGTTCCGTGGGGCAGCTGTCGTCTCCCGGTGCCTCTGCTGGAGGGTTCCGTGGGGTTCTGTGACCTCACACACCTGAACACGGGGAGTTCCAGAATCAGCCACCCCTGTGGTCTCCATGTCCCCAAGGTCATTGTGACGCATGAGCTCTGACTGGGTCCATGGGGTGCTCTGGAGGTGCTGCAGGCATTCTCTGGGATTCTCTAGGGGTATCCCCAGGATGCCCTGGGAGTGCACAGAGACACAGGGCCGTGGAGCAAGCTGCTCTAGTGGAAGGTGTCCCTGCCCGTGCCTTTGGGGGCTGGAGCTGGGTGAGCTTTAAGGTCCCTTCCAGCCCACTCTGGGATTCCATGATTCTCTGCTGTGCCAATGTCCGTCCCTCTCCACTCCTCGTAGGTGGCCGTGACGCCTTGTTCCATGGCCCACGTTGAGCTGTGACCCCTCGCATGCTCCACCTCCGGACCAAAGGCACTGAGGAAGAGCAGCCCGTGAAGGACCTCCCCGAGCCGGCTGGGCAGAGGCTGGTCCCCCCGCAGCCACTCCCGGAGCACCCCTGGGTGCCCAGTGGCCATGGGCACGATGCTGCCGCCATCCCAAAGCCGTGGCGGTCGCTGTGGATTTGCCCATTGTGACGGGGCCCCCACGGTGAGCGTGGGCTCTTTAAGGAGGGAGAGCCCTGCAGTAACCGGTGCAGAGGAGAGCCCTCCCCTCCCTCGGGGCTTCATGTAACCAAAAACGGGGGTGGGGAAGGTGGGGGGGGATCATTAAGTGCCTGTTGATGAGCTGCCTGTGGGGGAGGGGGGCGATGGGCCTCACCTCCCCCCCAGCACCCCAAAACGAGGGGTGTGGGGGAGGGTACCCAATGGACACAACCTCCCATCCCCCACCCGGGGGTGTTGGGGGGTGGCACCTCCCCCCCTCTTTATACCCCGGATGGGAGAGGGGAGGATAAAGGGGGGGATGGGGGGGGGTCTATCCGAAGCCTTATTGACACCGATGTAAATAGCGCAGGGGAGGGGGGGAGGGGAGGCGGGAGGGGTCACCTGAAGAATGTATAAAAAGGAAACTTAACCAATAAATGAAGATTTCACAGGAAATCGAGGCCCCCTCTCCCCCACGTGTTTCGGCCTTTCCCCATCCCCGTTCCGCGATGCTCTCTGCACTTCCGGGTTTGTTGCCTCTGTTGCCTAGCAACGGGGTCTCCGCGTACCGCTTCCTGCGCGTTGCCAGGCTACGGCCCCTGGGGCTGAATATGGGGCCTTTCCTCGCCCCTCCCCCTCATTTGTCCCCTCTTCCCCTCCCCCACCGCATACCCATTTTCTCCCCTCCCCCCCTTATGCCCCCCACTCCCCCTCCCCCTTTTTCCCACCCCCATTCCCCACATTCCTGCCATTTCTCCCCCTCTCTCTCCATCCCTCCCCATTTCTCATCCCACCATCGTTACCCCCCCCTTATTTACATGCAATTAGCGTAGGACCTGCTTTATCCACACGCACTTCATGTAGGGCTGACCTTATTTACACGTTACTTCCTTATTTACATGTTATTAATGTGGGGCCTACTTAATTTGTGTCCTTTTAGTCCAGCATGCTCAGCGCTTCCAGCAGCCCCCGCCCTGAAAGGGGCGTGGCCAAAGGGGTGAGGACACGCCCCCCCCCCCCGCCCCTCCCTCTATCTCCCCGTCTTTGCTCACCTGGGCCTGCAGGGGGCGCAGCTGCGCCTGGAGCTTCCCATTGGATGCGCCCAGAGCCCGGAGCTGGATCCAGCGACGGGACTGGAAGGGATGGAGGGGGGGACACAAGGAAATGAGGGACCCCAAAGCCATGGGAGGGACCCAAATACCCCCCAAGACCCCCAAACACCTTAAATATCGCCCCATATTTCCCCACAAGCCTCTCCCTTAACACCAAACCCATCCATAACCCCCAGATCCCCCTCCCAGCACCCCCAAAATTCCCCCTAAAGCCCCAAACTCCCCCATGTCATCCCCTATAGACCCAAAATCCCCCTCCAGGATCCCCACATATCCCTCATCCCTCCCAAAAAGTGGCCCTGGGGCCCTTTAGGGACCCCAACTCCTCCCCATAACCATCAAATTCCACTTCCCAGACCCCCCCAAAGCCCATCAGGACCCCCCCAAATCCCCATATTCCCCCGTTGGCACGCACCAGCCGCTGCTTCCCCTCCTGCAGCTGCCTCCTCAGTAGCCCCAGGGCAGTTTCTGGGGAGTCCATGGGGCTGCCCCGTAGCTCTGGGCCCTGCTGGATCTGGGCCCCCCGAGCCCCTGAGAGCCCCGTGGCCTCCAGCATCAACCTGGTTGCAAGGGGGGCCCCAAAGCCAAACGTTGAGGGGAGTTTGGGGGGCCCAAAGGGGTCCAGATCCCATTTTGGGGACCACAAAAGGGCTGCAGGGACCATGGAGGTTGGGGGGGGGCACTCCGAAAGGTGTCAGTACTGGGTTTAGGGAGAGTTGGGGGGGGGCTTTAAGGACCCCTATAAGCCCAGCACCCACTTCAGAAGGAAACCCAGGGGGGTTTAAAGTATAGAGGGGGTCCCTAAAGGGTTCTGGGGTTCAGGAGTGGGGAGGATGTATTCGGGGGGGGGTCCTTGAGAGGGTTTTGGGTGCATGGGGGAATCCATAGGGTGGTTTTGGGGTGCAGAGGGGGGTTGTTTTGGGGTGCACAGTGGGTGCTTTTGGGGTGCAGGGGGTTGTTTTGGGGTGCAGTGGGGGTAGATTTCGGGTGCACAGTGGGTGCTTTTGGGGTGCAGGGGGTTGTTTTGGGGTGCAGGGGGGAGGTTTTGGGGTGCCGTGGGGCTTCTGGGATGCATGGGGGTGGTTTTAGGGTGCAGGGGTTGTGTTTTGGTGTGCAGGGGCATGGTTTTGGGGTGCGGGGGTGGCGTTTTGGGATGCAGGGGGTTGTTTTGAGGTGCAGGGGGGATGGTTTTGGAGTGCAGACGGGGTGTCTTTGGATGCAGGGGGGATGGTTTTGGGGTGCAGAGGTGTGTTTTGGTCCCTGTGGGATCCCCCAAAACCCCACAGAGCCCCCCCAAAACCCTCTAACGCTCCCCACCCCGCCCCCCAAACCTGAATCTCCTTGAGGTGCTGGTACCTGAGCCCCGAGTTAAGGAGGAAACCTGGGGGGGGTTAAAGGAAGGGTTGGGGTGGTCGGGGCGGATCATGGGAGGGAACTGGGGATTCCTGGGCGAATTGGGGGGTGCTGGGGAGTTGTTGGGATCCCAATGGAATTTTGGGGGTGTCCTAACAGGCAAAGGGTTTTGGGGGGGTCCTGAGGGCTTTTGGAGGCTCCCCAATGAGCTTGGGTGTCCCCCCCCCCTTTGGGGTGCAGCGGATACCACAGCAGGTTCCCTTTGATCTTCTTCACATTCCTACAGGAACACACCCCCCCCCCATGTATTTTAGGGACCGATCCGAGGTTTGGGGTCCCTCCAGATGTTGCAGTTCCTCCCCCCCAGATGTTGGGGTGCCCCCCTCACCGCGGGTGCCGCACGTGGCCCATGATGTACTCCCGGATGGGGGCACAGGGCCCCGTGCACAGCCTGGAGGTGGGGGGGAGACAAAGAGAGGGGGTCAGGAGCACCCCAACCCCCCCAGGACCCCAAAAGCCCCCACTGGGGGGTCCCGCGGGCTCCAACCTGCGCAGGTCGGGATCGGAGGGGAGCTCCAGCTCCGCCATGATGGGCGAAATTGGCGCGCTGGGAGCGCCGCGCGGCACGACGGGAGTTGTAGTCCAAGCCGGGCGGCGCCTTAATGGTGCTGTATGGGTGTCGCACTGCATCATGGGAGTTGTAGTCCAGGCTGGGCGACGCCATGACGGGGCTCTCTGGGTGCCGCGTGGCATGATGGGAGTTGTAGTCCCCTCCTGGCCGGAGCCATAACGGCTCTCCATGAACATCCTTTTCCAGAGAGTTCCCCGCATGCGGACAGAACTGTGGGGGTGGTCTCTGGGGGTCGTTTGCTTCCTCCAACGATCTTCATCACTGCTGGCAGCCTTTGAAGCACGCGCAGTAGATGCTCACACCAGCTTAATTGGTTCGTTAGCACCAGAGACAGAGCAATCCTCCCATCCTCCCACTGCTCAGGTGGTTTAACTGCAGCCCATCCTGGGCTCCTGCGGTTCCAGATACTCCTTATCCTGTGTCCTGTTCTTCTGGACTGTTTTTCTTAAACTGTGTCACAGCTGTAAGGATTTCTCTTGTGAGAATTCTCAGTGTGTTCTCCAGCTGCACTCTATGGGATCTTTTTCTCTCTGTGTCACGCACCTCAGTAATTTTCCATTGCTACTGGTACAAAACCATCAAACTTAACATTACTTAAAAGTGATTCTAAAGATTTCTATATTCCACTTTGTGCCCCCCCTTTGTCTCAGTTTGGGGGTGTTTTTTGGATGTTTTGGGCGGTTTTGGAGTTGTTTTGGCTTCTGAACCTGTATCCTGTAGGAGAAGAAGGATAAGTTTGTTTTGGGGTGTTTTAGTGTGTTTTTGGGGTGTTTATGGTATGTTTTGGGCCTCTGACCGTGTATCCCATAGGAGAATCAAGAGAAGGTGGTGTTGGGGTTTTTTGGGGTGCTTTTGAGATGGTTTTGTGGTGTTTTGGTGGTGGTTTTGGGCTGTTTTGGAGCCATTTGGGGTCTGTTTTGGGGGTCTGACCCTGTATCCCATCGGAGGAGCTGTGATCCCCCCCCCAAGGCCAATGGCATTCCATAGGGAACACAGTCATTCCATAGGGAATGCGCCATTCCATAGGGAGAAGCTGCAGTTCCATAAGGGACACTGAGGATCTTGTGTCTTCTCTGGCACCGTTGACAAAGAGGAGCTGTGACCCTCATTGGAATGTCAGGATTCCATAGGGAATGCTGTGATTCCATATGGGGACGCTGCGGTTCCGTAAGGGACACTAAGCATCTTGGATCTTCTCTGGTACTGTGGACAAATAGGAGCTGTGACCCCCACATAGAACACAGGTTCCCCCCCACCTTGGACACTGGGATTCCATAGGGAGCACTGTGATTCCATAGGGAGGCACTGGGATTCCATAAGGGACACTTGACATCTCCAGTTCCTGGAGTGGATGGAGCCACAGGAGATGCTTCGTGGGACTCGTATAGGGGATGCTGTGTCCTCCTATGGACCACCATATGGGGCTGAAGGGGTCTGTATGGGACAAAGGGTATCCGCATGGGGTTAGGAGCATCCTTACGGAGTTAAGAACGCCCATATAGGACATGGGGCTTCCACACGGGACCACCCGCATCCATCTAGGGCTGAGGGCCTCTATATGGGGCTGAGGGACTCTATATGGTCCTACGAGCAGCAACCATATACAACATGGGACCAGCAGCATCCGTATCAGACCAGGGGCCTCCATATGAGACCACAAGCATCCATATGGGATTGAGGGCCTCTATATGAGGCTAGGAGCATCCATATGGGGCTAGGAGTATCCATATACAACATGGGACCTCCATATGGGACCACAAGCATCCATCTAGGGCTTAGGGCTGAGGAACTCCATATGTAGCTATGGCCCTCTATATGAGCATATAGGAGCAAGGGCCTCCGTATGGGACTATGAACTTCATATGTGACATGGGGCCTCCAGATGGGACCACGAGCATCTGCGTTGGGTTGAGGGCTTCCACATGGGGCCATGAGCTTCCATATGGGGCCATGGGTTTCCATATATGACATGGGGCCTCTGTATGGGATCAAATGCAACTCTATGGGACCATATATGCATCCATATGGCACTGAGCACCTTCCCTATAGGGCAGAGGGCTATAAGGGGGTAGAGTATCTCTATGGGGCTGAGGACCAGCTCTTATGGGGCCACAAACCTCTACAGGGGACTGAGAATATCCATCTCTATGGGGCTGGGGGCTTCCCTATGGGATTCAGGCGTTCCCTATAGGCTGAGCTTTCGCTAGGGGGTTCAAGCTTTCTCTATGGGGCTGAGGTCTTCTATAGGGCTGAGGCTTCCTTATAGGTCTCCCGCCCACCCCCATACATCTCCTTTGTCTCCCCCATATCCCTGGGGAGGGGGTGGGCAGAATGGGACGATATCATTCAAGACAGTAAGGGGTTGCAGGAGCCCCTCCCAGCCCCTCATTTTGAGGCCAAATCCTTAATAATCATAATAATATGCCAATTAATAATTAGGCTCTTCCAGCACTTTCTCCCCCTAAATTATTTCCTAGTGGAAATCAATGGGTTTAACCCCCCCCTTCCCCCCCCCTTTATAAATCACTATATTTGTATAAATGGTGCCTTTCCAACCCCAAGTCTTACCTTATTCCACCCATTTTCTCCACGGGGGGGGAGGGGGAGGGGCCTCAGTGTGACCCCCCATTGCCCTCCCCAAAATAATCCCCCCCCATTGTGCCTATTATTTTATATGTCCCCATGATCTTATTTAATTATCCCTCCCCCCGTTGTGATGCTGATAGGAATAAAACTGCTGTCCCCCCCTTCCCCACAGTGGTTTGTTCCATAACGGAGGGGTAGAAAAGCGGGGTCGCAACCATTTTGAGGGGCTGGGGGGGTCCAAGCCATTTTGGGTGTTGGGGTCTGCCCCATTTTGGGGTGCTGGGATCCCATTTTGGGGGTGTGTCCCCCATTTTGGGTAGGGTTGGTGCCCTCCCTCCTTTTGTGCCCGATGAGACCACCCACAGGAGGGGCGTGGCCAAGCCGGATGGGGCCGGCTCTGATTGTCTGGGCCCGCTTGGGGGCGTGGCTTTGTCCAGCGGGCGGTACCAAGAGGCGGAGCAAGGAGGACTGCACCGGGGTACCCGGGTGCGCTCAATGGAAGCTGGGGGGGGGAGACTGCAGTGCTGATGAGTGACTTTTAGCGCTATAATGGACCAAATTCCCTTGGGAACACCGTTTCCTTCCCCAGCGGCACCCCTTTTGCTGATCCATGGAAGCAGGGAAGCCCAGAAGGAATCACTGCAACTTCATTGCGGGATAACGGGGAGTCAGGTTTGGAGTGCGTGCTGCCTGGATGCTATCGGAGATGGAGGGGAGGGAATGGGACAGCGGAGGCGATGCCCTTTGGTCTCCGGAGCCCCTTGGTCCAGGTTTGTCTCCGCCATCCTTTCCCCTAAACGATAACTGCGCATCCGCAGCAGGAGAGCACCCGCAGGCAGTATCCCAGGCTCCGCCGCTCCGGTGCTTTCCTGAGGATGAGCAGGGTCTGTGCTGTCAGGGAACGGAGGCCGGGATCATCCTCATCCAGCAGCGCTTCCAGGGCTGTGATCCAAAGAGACCGGGATGAGCCCCTCCGTAGCCTCCAGCATCCCCCCAGCCCCTGCTCCCTCCTCACCTCTGCAGATCTGCTCCAGCTTCCTTGGGCTTTTCCCTCTTAGGGGCCGTGCAGCCAGTCCTGGGCACACAGGGATCCATTGGGATCCATCAGCATCCATCGGGATCCATCAGGGATGCAGCAGTGGGAACCGGGTTGGGGACCGCAGGGACTCACCAATGAACCTGACGGCTGCCTCTTGCAAGGAGACCTGAGCATCCTGCAGGTACCGCAGGCTCTGGTCCAGGTATCCCTGAGCCCTCTTCCTGCTCCGCTCCAGCTGCAGAAGGAATGGGATGCTATGGAAGGCCCCCATTGGCCGGAGCAGTCCCAACGCTCCCTTTCCCATCCGCATGTGGAATGAGCAGAGCGGTCCAAGGGGTTCCAAGTGGAATAGGGACGGATGCAGGACCCATACCAAGCACTCTGCAACCCTCCACGTCTGCCTCGTGTCCAATAGGCGCCGAAGCTCTTCCCATCCCAGGAGCGTCGCCGCAGCAAGGAGAGCTTCCCAGGAAGCCTGCACAGGATGGGATGGGAGATGGCACCTTGGGGATGATCCCACCCTCGGGAATGTGGGATACCCGAGGTGGGGGGAAGGGTGTTTGTACCTCGGCCACGCTGCAGCTTTGGTCGCTCATGTGGAAGAAGAGCGGGAGCAGCAGATCCCAGATTTTTCTCCTCATCCTCCTCCTGTCACCGCCAAGCACCGACTGCAGCAGGACCCGGAACAGGCGGATGGAGAGCTCGCGGAGCCGGCTGCATCCCTGAAGGGAAGGAGGAAAAGGGGGCACTTGGGCAGATCCTGATGGGATGTGAAGCCCTGGAGCCATCCCCATGCGAGCTCCAAATCACCGCAGGGGTCCCACGCAGCCCTTACTCCATCAAAGAGGGGCCAGAGGTCCTGCACCAGCCCCACGGCAATGGGGCTGGCCTCCTCACGCGGGAGGCGACCCATCACGTTCCGTAGGATCATCAGGGCCTTTATCCTGAGCTCGTCCTCAGCGTCCCAGAGCCAGCGCACCATGTGGGGCAGCAGTCGCTGCAGTTTCCTTGCCTGCAGGAAGAGGTGGGGGCTCCTTCTGGGGAAGCCTTGACCCAAGGCTATGGTCACCAAGGTCATGGCCAAGAGGGGTCCCTATGGCCATGCCCTGCCCCATGGCCAAGAGGGCTCCCCATGAACCATGGCCAAAGGGTTCCCTATGCCCATGCCTTTCCCCTTGGCCAAGAGGGCTCCCCATGAGCCAT